CGGGTGCACTAGGTGTCTGATTAGTAAGGAGGTGGTCCGGCAGATGAGTATTAGGGTGACCCGGTTAAAGTCTCCGATTCGTTTCGAACAAGTAGATGGCTCCCTCTTGGGGGGAGCTCCGACCAACTGGGTGACGGAGCCTGTGAGGATGGAGATAGGTATTCACTGGGAGGTAATACGGTTTATAGTAGTGCCTTCTATGTCCGAATCCATCATCCTTGGTCTAGCGTGGTTGGATAAATGGACCCCGAACATGTGGTGGGCAGATTTAAGGCTTGCAGTAGGTCCCCAGCCACCCCATCTGGCTGTGCATAGTGAGGATAGGGCGGTTGAAGACTCGAAATCTGGGCTGGCTGGGAGTGATCCTGGATATCCGGCGGTGTATAGTGATCTGGCAGCAGTTTTTAGCGAGCAAGAATGTAATAGTTTACCACCCCATCGGTCAACGGATTGCGCAATAGAAATTGTTCCTGGTGCGAGGTTGCCGAAACCCAGGATGTATCCGATGACATCTTCGGAGCAACAGGAAATGAGGAAATACATAGATGAAAATTTGGCCAGAGGCTTTATAGAACCAGCATGTTCCCGGATAGCAGCCCCGGTATTATTCCAAGGGAAAAAGGATGGAGGATTAAGGTTATGTGTGGATTTTAGGGGTCTTAACGCTGTATGTATAGAACAGACATATCCCCTGCCATTGATGAAAGACCTCCTTGCCCATCTAGTTGCTGGGAAAATCTTCACGAAATTAGACCTTCGTGAAGCGTACTATAGGGTGAGGATTAAGAAAGGGGACGAGTGGAAGACAGCGTTTAATTGCCCTCTGAGCAGCTATCAATTTAAAGTGATGCCTTTCGGGTTGCAAGGGGCCCCAGCTGTATTCATGCAGCTTATTAACGAAGTTTTGCACGAACATCTGTACCGGGGTATGCTGGTATATCTGGACGATATACTCATCTATTCCCAAACATTGGAGGAGCATGTGAAGTTGGTGCGCACTGTGCTGAAAAAATTGTTAGACGCCCGGCTATATTGTAAGCTATCAAGGTGCGAATTTCACAAGGAGCGCATTGAATACCTAGGATTCCGAGTTTCAGCAGCCGGTATAGAGATGGATCCCAGTAAAGTACGAACTGTATTAGAGTGGCAAGCCCCAAAGACCCGCCGTCAATTACAACGGTTCTTGGGGTTTGCTAATTTCTATCGGCAATTTATTCCCTCTTTTGCTGATGTGGCACTCCCATTGACCCAGCTATTGCGTACCAAGCATATTGCAGGGAAACCCCGTCCAGGACAATCCTTGAACTGGACTGTTGCTTGTCAAAGAGCATTCGAGTCCTTAAAGATATTATTCGCTCAAGAACCTGTATTAGTACATCCTGATCCGGGGCGGCCGTTTGTTGTACAGGCCGATGCGAGCGACGTGGCAGTCGGTGCGGTATTATTGCAGCGTAATGACCAAGGTATTCTACAACCTTGCGCTTATACCTCCAAGAAGTTCACTGATACAGAAAGACGCTGGGCGGTATGGGAAAAGGAAGCATTTGCTGTGAAATGGGCCCTGTCCACATGGCGCCATTTGTTGGAGGGCGCACAGCATCCCTTTGAAGTGTGGACAGACCACAAGAATTTAACGGTCCTCCAGACACCGTGGAGATTAGCTCCCAAACATGTTCGTTGGGCACAATATTTCCAACGATTTAGGTTTCATTTTAAAGTTGTTCCAGGAGGGAAGAATTTTTAGCGGACGCACTCTCATGCACTCTCACGACAGCAAAAAGGAAGAGGTGATCCAAGCTATCATGCCTTCTGACAGTGTTGAAGTCATACGAGCAGATGCCTGTGAAAAAACGACAGCATTCGAGGATGAAGTAAAGTCTGCTTTGTTAAATGACTCTTGGTCACTAGCTAATCCTGGATTGTTGACCTACCGAGATGGTTTAGCCTGGCACAGTGATAGACTATACATTCCACAGCGGTTATGGGACCGAGTGTACCACCGGTGCCATGACTCCAAATTAGCAGGCCATTTTGGGTTTTTGAAAACATTACATTTGGCGAGACGGCAGTTCTGGTGGCCGAGTTTGCGGAAGGACATTGAAAGCTATGTGAAAGGGTGTCATATTTGTGCACAGGCGAAGGTAATTCCTAAAAAACCAATGGGATTACTCCAGTCAGTGTCTAATCCAACTCGGCCATGGCAGGACATGGGGATGGACTTTATAGTAGATTTACCAAATGTAAAAGGATATACAGTTATATGGACGGTGGTCGATTTATTTTCAAAGCAGGCCCATTTCATACCGTGTAAGGGACTACCATCGGCGAGGAAATTGGCTAAAATGTTCATACACCAAGTGTTCCGACTGCATGGGGCGCCTCGCCGGATTATTTCGGACCGAGGTGTCCAATTTACAGCTCATTTTTGGCGGCAATTTCTGAGGTTTATTGGTACCACACAAGGGCTGAGTTCTGCATATCACCCTTGTACTAATGGGGCGGCAGAGCGGGCCAATGCTTCTATAGAGAGATATCTCCGATGTTACGTGTCTTACCAACAGTCCAATTGAGTAGATTTGGTACCATTTGCGGAGATTGCGTATAACAATGCGGTACATAAAAGTACTGGCCTAACCCCATTCCAAGTGGTATATGGACATGATATTACTCCACTACCGGAAAGTAGAAACCGGGAAACCCAGGTCGGTCAACCAAATGAGTGATTGTCGCGAGTAGGTAAGGTTTGGAGTACAGTACGACACGCTCTGCAGCGGGCAGCTCAGACATCAAAGTATCAGGCAGATAAAGGTCGCAGAATGCCATTTCAATTACAGGTAGGCGACCTGGTATATTTGTCAACCAAGTATATTAAGTTGCAGGTGCCATGCAGAAAATTAGCACCAAAATACATTGGACCATTTCGTATACTCCAGATCCTCAATCCTGTGACGGTGAAGCTCCACTTACCGAAACTACTTGGTAAGATATACCCGGTTTTTCATGTAAGTTTGTTGAAACCCATGGGAGGACCGTCCCATGAGACACCCCCAGGACCTGTTACGCCAGGACGATATGAAATACAGGACATAATTGATTCGCGAGTAAGGGGGGGTAGACTCTATTATCTGATATTGTGGAAGGGATACCCTCTGTCCGAAGCCTCTTGGGTAGAAAAACACGATATATCCGCCCCTGATCTAATCCGTCGGTATCACAGAGCAGTACCACACAAACCAGGGGGTGACTAGAAAGGTTATTGTATGTGAACATTGGCATGATTAATCAATTTCCCATTTCTCACCTTCAGGGGGCCCTGTGGTGAGGGGGGCTGAATGTCAGACCCAGCGTGATACTTACCTTCCAAAGTCCAGAATGTTCCAGTTAACCCTGTGTTCCAGCCGAGTCCGGTAGCTTCGTGAGCTACATCGCCAACAGCGGCGGCCGAACGGGTCACATGAACATCCTATGTTGCCAGCACATAACCGGACGGAGGCTACATAGAAATGGAATATGGAGAAGCCGACTGCTGTTCAAACTGTTATGGCTTATGTTGCTGGAACCGTGACTCTGTGAATGATGGGAACTGGGACGCTGGGTCTGACAACACTTGGATACCGGGAGGGGGTATTATAGGAAGAGGTTGAGTGGGACATTAGGGATGAGACTGGCGTGAACGGAACGCATGGACTCAATGCAAGGTTTGAACATAAGTACTAGCTGGATCGGGGCGTGGACTCAATGCAAGGTTTGAACATAAGGACTAGCTGGATCGGGGCGTGGACTCAATGTAAGGTTTGAACATAAGGACTAGCTGGATCGGGGCATAGGTAGGGTCGAGGACTATCACAAGGCAGGTATGGGGAGGGGGACAGGTGGATTGCAGATGACCAATTAACCGTCAATTGGGGTGTGTACTCTGGGTGTGGTGGAGGAATGTATTTAGGGCAATGAATGGAGCTTCGTTCCAGTGCTAACTTAGTTTCAACATAGTGAATAAAGCTTGTTGAATACTGCAACGTTCCTATTTCCTGGCTTTCGCGAAGCACGGTTAGGACGTTCTGTTACAAATGACTTCCAACAATTCTAACACATTCTGAAACAAGGATCACAGTATTACTTATCTTTCTAATTCAAATGTAGTTGACTCTCTCCCCCAGTGGTGGGATTCAAATATGGGGAAAACCGGTTCTTTGTGTGGATGCCGCTTCCGGAGATCTATTCTGAGCATGGGCAACAAAAAATTAGCTACCGGTTCTGCTGAAATAATGCGAACTGGCTGAATCCCACCACTGCCCTCGCCCCCAAAATCCAATGTTCCTGAATCTTTGAAATTTTGAGGTTTCTACATGACTTTTCTTTTCAAATGATTCAGAGTTTTTGATGGAAGACAGTGTAAAATTATAATTTGTCCCAAATTATTTGTATAGAGGAAAAAAAAATTATCTATTCTTAATATATATAATGTTATCTGTCTCTCTGTTTCTCCTTATCTATCTATCTATCTATCTATCTATCTATCTATCTATCTATCTATCTACCCATCTATCTATTTATTATCTTACATTATCCAGCCAGAAGAGACCAATCAAATATATATTTGAAATTAACTATTTTTTAAAATCAGAACATCTTCCCCCAAAATAAAATATAACACCAACATATATAGCAACAAAAACACACATCATCATTAGCCATAGTCTTTAATTTAATCTAAAACAATGTCAGAACATCTCTGGTAACATCTCTTGCCTGGTTTCAGAAATTTTATTAATGTATTTGATGATATTTATGATTTACATGAATTCAGATTGTGGCAATTGAAGGATATTGTTATTTCAAATAATTTCAGTTGTTTTAGCAACATTACTACTCAATTATTATAATACAAAATTCACATGGGATGAAGAAAAATAAGCTACAACACATAAAACATGACTTCAAAGTATGTGATTTTATACTGAATGTAAACTGTACAAAAATAAAGACCAACATCAGGAGACTTAATGATTTTTTATCATCAGATTTTCTTTTGTGTTCATGGCAGGTCTCAAAATAATAATATAGCATTTGGGGATAAAGATGCAGACTAGTAAACCGAGACTGGAGGCCAGGATGGAGAATATTTGAACAGCTACCATGTATTTCCCTTTGGAGCTCAAGTAGGTGGGTACAAAGGAGATCCATACGCTACAAAAAACCAACATGCTGAAGGTGATCAGTTTGGCTTCATTGAAACTCCCTGGCAGTTTTCGAGCCAGAAATGCCACCAAGAAGCAAATGGCAGCCAGAAAACCCATGTAGCCAAGGGCAGTGTAGAACATGGCAACCGAGCCTTCATTGCACTGCAACAAGATGTGTCCTGGTTGGGAATGAAAGTCAGAATCTGGGAATGGGGGGGAAATTCCCAGCCATATCATACAGATGCCTACTTGAATGCCAGAGCAGGATAAGACAATAGAGTTGGCCAGACTCTTCCCCAGCCATTTCCTCATGCTGCTGCCTGGCTTTGTGGCCAGAAAGGCCACCACCACCATTACCGTCTTGGCCAGCACAGAAGATACAGCCACTGAGAAAACAATACTGAAAATGGTTTGTCGAAGCAAACAAGTCATTTTTATGGGGCGACCAATGAATAGAAGAGGGGTCAAGAAAGAAAGCAGGAGTGAAACCAGGAGGATGTAGGTGAGTTGACAGTTGTTGGCTTTGACTATGGGAGTTTCTCGGTATTTAATGAAGGTTCCCAGAATAAAGGCAGTGATCAGGGACAAAGCAATGGCAAAGAAAGCCAGAATGAATCCCAACAATTCTTCATAAGATAAAAAGCTTATACTTTTTGGGACACACTGATCTCGTTTCTTATTGGAATAATGGTCATCTGGACACTTATCACAGTGGGATGCATCTGAAAAAAAATTGTGAGCATGTATCTGTTTCTGCAACTGTAGGAGCATGAAAACCACAACAAAAATCAATTACTTCATTTTCAAGGAATAATATAATATTTCTGCCCAGTGATATCCATATGACACAACATTTATTAAAATAGTCGACATTCTTTTTTTAAAGGCTAAAGATAAATGTGATTATCAGCTTCTCCTCTTGCCGGAGATCAAACAAGAAAATTACAACTCAATAGAAATCAACAATCTTTGAAACGTTTGTGGATGCCTTCAAGAAATTTAATGTTTTTCTTGCTTCTTTATCAAATACCCTAAAAAAGCAAGAGATTAATATTGATTGTATACTGTTTTTTTCTTTCTTTTTTTTTCTTTTTGGAGCCACCTACTATACCTTCTTGCACAGAGAATGTTCCTTTCATACACAGAGAACAGTCATAGCAGCAAACTGGTGCCCCCTCTCTCACAAGCTTGGCATAACCTGGGGAGCAACTTTCTGTACATCTTGAATAAGGCACCGTCTAAACATAAAAAGAAAGATTAGTCAGGGCAATATATGAATTAGAAGAGTTTACTGAAATCAACTGGTTTCCAGAAGCTCAGAAGCACACTGAGCAAAATCAGTCAAGGACTGGTGGCATGGGCTTTTATTAGTCTGCTTGAAAGCGGCAAAAGAAAGATGATTGTCTTTCTCTATCAATCTCTATTGCAGATCCCAAAACAGACTCATTGCCTTATTCTTCTTTCCAAAGGAAAGTAGTTCCATTGCAAAAGTTTTTTCTCCTTAGGGCATTTATGAGAATGCTATAATTTATTTTTTTTACCAACTTTGCTTTCTCAGGAAACCTCCAAAATTTAGCTTTCTCTTCAGTCATTATTTTTCTCTTTTACAATTGATCATTGTATAATTTTATTTAAATGACTTTTTTAGCTGCCCTCATTTCCCTCACCACATTCTTAATGACATCTTTCTCTTATGCAATTCAGTGGGCTAAGTTCTTCATATTCTGGATTTTTCCCAAAGGTACTTTTTCAAAAGGCACCTGGTCTTTGTTTTCCCTTGAAGACATTTCGCCTTTCATCTCAGAAGCTTCTTCACTTCTGACTGAATGGTGGAGGATAAAAGGATTTATAGTCCTTGCAATCATCTGGTCATTAGCAGTCTTTCTGAGAGTTGTTAAGGCTACTTGGAGGGTCACCTGAATAGTGCAAATGGATGTGGAACCT